CTGGGACAGGACTGATTCAGAGCCTAGAAGTGGCAGTGAATGGTTCTAGCTATGGGACCCCTGGGGCACCAGAGAGTGCTGGCTGGTCCTTAGGCAAATTGGGGCCAGAAAGAGGAGCTTCAAAAATCAAGCTGTGATTGAGAGGAGGGGGACCCATATTGGGAGTAGCACTGGGGCTACGAGAATGAAATCGGAAAATTCTCGGGCTGGAAGGAGAGCTTGCCCACTGTCTAGGATCACGGCCTCCTTTTTACTTCCGTTGAGTTCAACACATCCTGACAGGATCATCTGCCTCTTTGAAAGCAACTCTTTTGCTTTCAAACTTTGCTTTTTCCTCCCTTCTGAGCACCAGATAGGGAAGAAATCTGGGGCCCTAATCTTTTCTAGGGCTGCTTTGCCTCTGACTAGTGGCTGGATAGCCCAAGCAGATTTTGTACAGTTGGGACAAAGCTGTGGGATTCATGACATTTGTGAGCCACACCTCTGGAGTATGTGAATCATGACTCTCTCTGGGCCCGGGGGCAAATCAGGGTGGAGTCACAGGATTTGAGGTAAGGACACTGGGACTAGAGAGGGGACAGAGAGTAGGCAGAGAGCGGCGCAGCCTAAGGAAGAGAACCTCCCTGGGCAGGTGGCTCCATTTGATTTCCGATTTAAAGGGGAGGCTTAGATAGCCAAGAAGAAAAAGGCTAATAAGAAAAATATTAAACTGCAGTGTGTGTGTCCCCAGGGACTTCCTGTTGCCATGACTGACCTCCCGGAGAGCGCCATTCGTTCCCGAGCATGGCAGCTTTATAGGCACTTGTAGGCCTGCAAAGAACACCAATTTGCTGCTGCAGTTTGTTTTGATAACTGAAACTTTCAATAAATCTATATTAAAATCAAAGGGAAAATTAACTAGGCCCTAGTGAGGGGCACGGAGATAAGGGAGCACATTACCACCCTGGCCTCAGCCACCCCACATCCATCTCTTAGTTCAGATTCAGGTCACCAGGGAGATGAATGGCTCAGGCTCTTGGGGAACAGCTCTGGGGAAAAGCAGGAAGAAAGCGGCATGGCCAGATCCAGCCCTGACTCCTCCCAGAGCGGCAGAAGACTGCTGGGGGTTTGGGATGGGGAGAAGAGGAGGTGGGGTGGTGGTGGTCATGATGGGAAGAGGGGTAGGAGAAAGGGGTAGGGAAGGGTGAGAATAGTAGTAACAGCCACTGTTTACTGAACTCTTTATTCTAGGTAGTGCTAAGCACTTGCGTATTTAATTCCAATAACAGGTAGATACGAGTATTATCTACATTCTAGAGATGAAGAAACTGAACTTCAGAGAGGTATGTGACTTGCCGAAGGTCACAGATGGAGCCAGGACTCAAACCTGAACAGGTTCTCTCTGAGTCCACCCTTCTATGCTGTCTTATATAGCTTACAGGGACTACGATGGCAGCAGCAGTTCTTCCAGTTGCCGCATAAAATGGTTTCAGACCCAGTCTGGGTTCTCTCAGCTGTGCCAAGGTTTGGGGGCTGCCATGCATTATCCTTGGGTCCTGCATTCTCTGTGCTTTGACCGCTGGTTAAGGTCCTAGCTTTGATGGCCACCTTGCTGCTTTTCCTGGTGGTTTGACAGGCTATAAGAAGACCTAACTGACCGGGCGTGGTGGCTCATGCCTGTAATCCCAACACTTTGGGAGGCCGAGGCGGGCGAATCACCTGAGGTAGGGAGTTCGAGACCAACTGGACCAACATGCAGAAGTCCTGTCTCTACTAAAAATACAAAAATTAGATAGGCCTGGTGGTGCATGCCTGTAATCCCAGCTACTCGGGAGGCTGATGGAGAAGAATCGCTTGAACCCGGGAGGTGGAGGTTGCAGTGAGTTGAAATCGCGCCATTGCACTCCAGCCTGGGCAACAAGAGTGAAACTCCATCTCAAAAAAAAAAAAAAAAAGAAGACTTAACTTGGTCCTGTCTTGTGTTCTTGCTCTCAGTGTTCACTTTAGCTCAGTCGCTTAATCCAGCAGCCAGGATGTCTGTGTGTCTGTGTACTGGACTCAGTTCATCTGCCTCCCCAAATTCACTTGCCCTTGCCTTGTGTGCACCCTTGACTCTGGCCATTGGCCACTTGTTCATTGGACAACCCACCTGCCACTCCCACCTCATTTACTAACACCTCTGGTTATCTTCGTTTCCCTTGGGATGAGGGTTAGGTTTGGACACAGCCTCCAGTGTGCCCACTGTGGCGGGACTGCAGTTGGACCTGATCTGACCCAACCAGAGGCTTTGATTCCTCTCACCATTTCTAGTCTCAAATGAATGACTATACTTCAGGGTGTGGAATCTGGCACCCCCTGGGGCTACTGCATTGGTGGGGTAACACAACCCTTCCTTCTCCCTGTCACACAGGATGGTTCTACACACATTGTACGACAGAGCAACGAGTTGTATTTTCTTTGAGGAACTGGCCAACTTCTCAGTAAGACACTATCTGGTACTTTCTTTCCCTCCTTCCCTGCTTCACTTCCCCCTTTCCCCTACTCTTTTATTTATTTGTTTATTTAAGACACAGAGTCTTGCCATGTTGCCCAGGCTAGCCTTGAACTCCTGACTTCAAACGATCCTCCTGCCTCAGTCTCCTGCCTCCTGAGTAGCTGGGACTACTACATGTGTCACCTTACCCGGCTCCCCTCACTCTTGATGCCTTGGGATTGTACTCCCCAATTAAATTTGAACACATAAGTTTTGCCTCAGGCTCCGTTTCCTTTTTTTTTCTTTTTCCTTTTACAGAGATGGGATCTTGCTATGTTGACCAGTCTGGTCATGAACCCCTGGGCTCAAGCAATCCTTCCACCATGTCCTGCTAAAGTGTTGGGATTTCAAGCATGAGCCACTGTACCTGGCTCAGGCTCTGTTTTCTAGGGAACCAGACAGCACACAACAGAGCCACGGCTTGAGAAATCCAAGTGCTGTGCTAGGCGGCAGTGTAAGGTACCAAGTGTATACTGAGCTGTCAAACTGTTCTATTATTTGAATCAATTTGCCTGGTCTTTGTACAAAAAGAGCTTACAGTGTGGTGAAGTCCTGGAAGCTGTACAGTTGAGCCCTGGTGCACCAAGGAGGAAAGGACACATTCTGGGGAAGTCAAGGGGACCATTGAAGGCTCCACAGAGGATGTTGGGGCTGGGCATTAAATAAAGCCTTGAATCCAGATAGTATAGATTTACTTCATTCTTACAGCCAAGAAGATTGGCTGTGCCTACTCTTAGGCCATAACTCAGTATATAACAAAGCTATCTCACTGCCTCTTGTCTTATTTTTGTATTTGCTTGTTTTATTATCTATCCTTCCTCCTACAGCCCCTCTCCAATTTATTTATTATGGCTTTCTGCAGCCTTGTCCTCCCAGGCTCCAGTGATCCTCCCACCTCAGCCTCCTGAGTATCTGGGACTACAAGCACGTGCCACCATGCCTGGCTAATTTTTAAATTTTTTGTAGAGATGAAAATCTCATTATGTTGCCCAAGCTGGTCTTGAACTCCTGGTCTCAAAGGATCCTCCTGTCTCAGCCTCCCAAAGTGTTTAGAATTACAGATATGAGCCACGGCACCCAGCTTCCCTCTCCAGTTTAAAAGCTCCTTGAGAATACAGGTGTGTCGTTATTAATCAATGAATCCTCAGCAACAGAAACAGTGCCTGACACTTAAGAGAGGCACTATAAATACAGGTGGACTGACTGACCAACTGGGGTTAATGTCTAGGTAATAATAGGAGAATCTGTTCCAGCTCCAAGAATTGGAGGATAGTACCTCCACTTACTGACTTCGGGATAAGCCTGTCCCCGATGCTGTATATTCCCTCATTTGTTCACAGACATTTACTGCAGGCCTTCTTTACGCCTGCACTATGCTGTGTATTACTGAACAATAATGGAAAAAATGGAACATACATGAACAATATGGAAAAAAATGCTTTTCCTGAAGGACTTAAAACCCTGTGGGAGCGACAACAAGGAAACAGACAATTATAAAACAATATGATAAATGCTGTAGGTGCACAGTAGAGTCACCTAACCTGTTATGTGGGTAGGATAGATGATGGCATTCCCTGATATGGGGATTACCAGGCACTCCCAGCTCAGGTGGAAACCGTTATGTTAAAGTCCGATCTCAGAGGTGGTAGGGCCCAGAAATGACATCATCCTAAGTGTAAATATGCAGACAACACACAGAGGGGCTTGGTAACTGAAGCTGGGCCCAGAAGATGGGGTCCTGACCGATTGTGAAGCTGTCAAAGCCATCATTGGCTTGGCTAAGGGTGAGGTTTCCCAGCTCATATCCTGGGACTCATGACTACCCAGAAAGGCATAACCAGGATGAAGAAGCACAGGTCTCTCCAGCTTACTGGAGAGACTGACTGGGGAAGTTCCTCACAGCTGAGGCCAGAAACCTTTTAAACAGAAGTTTCCTCTGAGTGGACCTGAACAAGCCAGTTCCCTCTTCCTTAGGACGGCCCTTCACAAATCTAAGCATTTTCCTCTTAGCTTAACCCCTCTTTGTCTCAGGTCTCCCCCAGGCCCACATCACAGAGTAGATGACAATAATTACTTGTTGAATGAACGAATCATGAAGAGTCATGTAAATATAATCTGTCACGTTGTGAGCCCACATTTACCTTGCGGGTATACTGGAGGGCGGGAAAACGGAGATGGGGGACCTGGGTCGCTGTAGGCCTTAGAAAGTTTCGTTTTAAAAAAATAGCTTTCACAGATCAGAAGTGATGTCCCCGCCCCCGCCTTCTCTTCTGAGTTCGTGCAACGTCAAAACTACAAGTCCCATAAGCCCGGCCGCCGGGAGTTACCATCTTGACATACCTTAGCGCGCATGTCGGCGGGAGAGTGAGCATTTGGGGAGAAGAAGCCCCGCCCGGCTGCAGCCCATTGGTCAAAGGGACCGGCAGCGGGCTCAGCGGTTGGCCACAGCGCCCGCCCGTCCGTCGCGTCGGTCGGGGTCAGAGTGCGCGGAGGTGAGTCGGTGTGTTGTGGACTCGTGGTGCTGGCTGCCGCTGTTCAGGCGGCCGGGAACGGGCGGTGGGGAGCGGGCGGAGCTGGCCTTGCCTCTGCCTGGCCGGCGCCGCAGTCGGCGCGGGCTGCGCCCGCCGCCGCCAACTGCCCTGAGCGCCTGCTGAGGCCGAGGGAGACGTCGGGGCCTGCACCTGGAGGGAGCCTGCCGCGCTGGCCCCGAGGAGGGGGCGTTGCCATGGCGACAGCCTCTCCCGCTGCTGACGGGGGACGGGGGCGGCCCTGGGAAGGAGGGCTGGTCTCCTGGCCCCCCGCCCCTCCCCTTACTCTCCCCTGGACTTGGATGGGCCCAAGTTGGGGGCAACACCCCGGGGTGGGTGATGCTGAATGCCCCCCTCCAAGATTGGGCCCTGGTTAATGCATGCGGGCCGAGGGTCGCGGTGCGCAGAATTTGTGCAACCTGGGGTGCTGGCCCATGTGCCAACCCTGGATGCTTAATCTACTGAGTAACGTTCTGGCGGAGGGGGAGAGGGGCAGAGCTTTGCAAGACAGGATGGGTGAGTTTATTAAGGGGGTTGACTTACTGGGATTACTAGAAAAGAAAAAGAGGTTTGACCAGAGTGGCTAGAAGTGGAGCTAGGAGATTGTAGTTAGAACATTCCCTTGACCCCCTCCCCAACACATGCACACACACCAGGTTAGCAGTTTACCTCTTTGTAAATCTGAAGCGGTGGTAGTGGTGATGGTGGAAGGAGTGAATAAGGGGCCTAACCTGGCTATCTTTCTGTGTGCCTGTCTTGCAAATGGTCCAGCAACAGGTGTTTCCTTAAAAAAAAAAGCATGAATTTGGATTGAGGCTTGACTGTGAGTTCTTGTAAAATTTAACTGCTCATTGTTGACTTGGAAGATGCTGGATGTGGGGCCCCCAATGGGGGTTTGGATTTTGTCCTTAGAGCTGGATTTTGTAACGAATAGTGCCCAGCGTTGCGTCTGCTTGAGGTCTCTGGCCACTTCAGTGGCATTTACTCTTGTCAGACATTTCATCAGTTTCCCAGGGGAAGGGCAGCAAAACATGAATCCTATTGGCTAAAAGACTGTACGCTATTCAAACTATAGTAGGTTGTGAGTGGCTAAATGAGTTTTGATTGTAGAGTTTCTTCCAGAAATTGGCTTCATCAAATTCTGCTTTATTCTGACTTTATCATATACAGCCTGCCCTGTTTTAGTGGGTTCTTGCTTGGAACTTAAGTTTATTATACCTGGATCTCCTACTATTTAAAAGCCAATTTATAAACAGGGACTTGAAGTGTGACTCCACTAATGTGTGTCTGTGATCCTGGTTAGAAACCCACTTGGCTGCCTTTTCCTCAGGAGGGGGGGGTTGGGGGGAGGGAGCTGCCGGGAAGTGATTGATAAGGTTTCCTTTATGGATTCTGTGGTGCTTCACTGGAGCTCAGAGCACTTTGGCAACTTAAGCACTCCAAATTAAAAGCTCATTAACAATTCCTGCCCAAAGATCCTGTAAATAATCAGCTAGCTAGGTCATAGAGCTTGGCTAAGAGCTCTTCTTCCAACTTGAAATTTCCAAATAAAAGTGCTTTTATTCCCTTTCATTTTGAAAAGTGTTTTCTTTGTGGTGGGGTAAATCTGTGAGTGGCCTTTTCCCAGCGGATCTGAGTAGAAGAAAGTCTTAAATGTGTGGAATGGTAGACAGGAATATATTAGTTCCAACCCTAGGTGTTTATGCAAAAGACATCACTAACAGGGGCATCTCTGCAACATCTGGTCCTTTGGAGGATATGATTTAGTTGAAAAGGATGATAGGTATCTATTGATGTTTTGACTTGGGATTTAGTTACCTTGACTTTCTTAGAGTTTGAAGCAGGCTTGGAAGTATCCCGAAAGTGTTTCCTAGTCTATGTGGCCATTTGCAGTATGACTTGTGGATTTGTGGCAACCAGCCCCTCCCCCAATCCTGGCCCAGCCTTAGTTCCTTAGTTCTGAATATTGTCAGCCTTACCAGTGTCTTCCTCCTTGACTAGACTAGGATTCTGAAATTACCCAAAGAGGCACCACTTCATGGCTATCTTTCTCGGTAAATGTTCAGTGTTTCTAGGAGGTGAGTCTCCATAGGAGGAAAAGTATATGACTAGAGAACATGAAAATCATTACAAATATAGTACTAATAGTTTCTGAAAGCTCCGTGGGGGCACTGTCTTTCCACATTGATGGCAGTTATCCCAAAGTTTGAGTTTAGAGTTTGAGGTGTAGTATCCTTCATGGGGATTTGATCCTTGGTATTGAAATAGACTTGTTGCAGAGATGTGTGTTTATCCACAGCATTGGGGCTTTCCAGCTCTCACAGAACCTTCAGCATCCCCAGCTGCCGGTCTTGGCATCTTCGAAGTAAGGAGAGGTGAGAATCCTGTTGCATGGTCAAGTTTGGCTTTATTTCCTTCTGAGTATTTGGGCTTGGAGGGTAGGGGGTGGGGATTGATGCAGATTGTATTTTTTTTCCCCAGGTATCCCCAAAGTCTAAACAAATTGTATTTTTTTGTAGCTGCTTCTGATAAGGTAACATATGTTCAAAGTCTGTAGAAGCTTACTTAAAGTTTCTAAAGTGGTAAGAGTTGGAGGTGGGAGATCCAGACTCTCAAATTCTGTCACAATTGCTTTATGGGCATCTCATGAGCACCTACTTTAGGTTCTATTCTGAATAGAACCAGAATAGCCCATTATCCTGAGAAATACACATCTTTTTTTTTTTTTTTTTTTTTTGAGGCAGAGTCTCACTCTGTCGTCCAGGCTGGAGTACAGTGGCACGCTCTCGGCTCACTACAAGCTCCGCCTCCCGGGTCCACGCCATTCTCCTGCCTCAGCCTCCCGAGTAGCTGGGACTACAGGTGCTTGCCACCACGCCCGGCTAATTTTTTTGTATTTTTAGTAGAGATGGGGTTTCACCATGTTAGCCAGGATGGTCT